AGGACAGTACCTTTGAGTACAACAAATGCCCAGACACAGCCGAGGATGCTGTCATCAGCCTGTCTTGGTCACTTTCTCTGTTGGCTATGTTTGCCACAGTGGTTGCAGACCAGATCTAACATGAGTGTGTCCAGTTTGCAAAAAAAGACAAGACCATCTCACGTCACAGTAGAGGGAGCACTGGACAGCAGGACCTCAGAGAGAAGATACCTTTCCCTCAAGGTAGAGGCCACAGCTGGAGATTAGAAGGGGATTTCAAGAATTTGGATTTGGAAACAGTGGCTGCCAAATGTCTTTTGGAATTGGGGCATTTCTCTGTCACATTTGCCACAGAATCTATCATAAATGGTGGGTGGCCATCTCCAGCTTTCCCTGGGACACCCTAGTAGGCAGTTTTTGCTGACAAGAACTGCCCCTTCCTGTTTGTAGCCCTTGTGATTCTGTCTCCTGATTACCTAATGCTGGGCTTCTGTCTGCCTCTATAGCAGGATCTCTGGACCAGTGATGTGCAACCTTCAAGCCTGGTATTTGGCTTTCTGGCTAATTCTGACCATTGGAGCCAGTGGGGTCAATAACACCTCAAGGAGTCTACTTTCTCCATCAGAGCTTTGGAACTCAGAACCAGTTGGCAAGGACCTCCAAGTATTACTACTACTGTAAACACCTGTCTTAACCTCAGGCTTTGGTGTTGAGTTTTGTATCATGGATGGCACCATGAAATCCTGTCCTAATGAATTCGTCACATTCTGACTACAGAGGGAAAAGTGGGAGGAAAGGAATTGTGACAGTATAATTTCACCTAAATTTTATCGGCTTACAAAAATGGGATGAATCAAATGGTACTTACGGAAACTTCCTATCTCTTAAAAATCCTTTGGAACTGGTCTCTTTAGCCAGTGAGGCTCCTAATAGAGAAATTCTCTTTCCAGATCTTCTGTCCTCATTGTTACATTATTTCACATATTTTTGTCCTGCTTCCTATTATTTGGGGTTTGATAATCTTGTTAGAGTACAGGATGCTATTGCAAAGAAATGAAGTGACACTGTCCTCTTTCTTCCTCTCCTCTTCTTAGCAGAGACCAAAATACTGCTATCCCAAGAATGCAGCAGCTGAAGCCATTTCATGAAATCACAGAGACCCAAAGATCATTTATGGACTCTGGGCCTTGCTCAGGGTTTTTATCCCCAGAGAGTAGCATAAATGACCTCCTGGTTTCCTTTATAAGGCCTGTGGCTTCACTCATAGATTTCCTTTCAGCTTTCTTTCTCCTCAAAACTGTGTTCACCTGCCTCCTGTACCAGAGGACAAATAGCCTAGACTACTGCTGAAGCTCGGACTACTTGGTGTACATTAAGAAACCTGGAATTGGGCCCTCCAAGACATTCAGAGTTCTGATGCAGGAACACCTGAGAAGTATTCCTGTCCCCTGTGCTACAGAAACTGAGCATCCTTGCCCAAAAGAAGCAGGAGGCTTTGTCATATCAGTTCAGATGGATGTGGAAGACCACCATCCTCAAAAGCCAAGTTGTCTATTATGAAAAGACAGGGAGGAGGATGACCCACTTGTGACCTGCATTTGGTACGGTTTGATAGAGTCCTCCCCAAAACTCCTTGTATGTGTGCTAAAACTGGGGAGGTATGTGACAGCTGAGCAGGCAGCCCTTGATAGTTTGTAAAGCCAGACAGCAGGCCTGGGGAGCCTCAGCACAGTGATGTGATGTGGTTTTCCTTCCTGTGCGATCTAAGGGAAGTTATTCTTCCCAAGCCCTTGATTTTGTTTTCAGTGTTATAAACTTTATCCTGACTGCAAGAGTGTAGTGCTAGGCAGATGGAAAGTGCACCTGGTGGGATGATTCTTACTTGTCCTGTCAGGCTTTATCCTAGAGGCTCAGCTTCTTCTTGGAGACATCTGTGGTAAGGGGAGAAGGACTTCTGCAAGGGACTTCTTGTTCACTTTGCCAAGCCACACTGTTCCTGGCCCACCCCCAACAAAGCCAACAAAGAGTAGAAAACCCCAGCATGAGGTCACTTTTCCTTTGTATCCTGCATTAGAACAACCACTTTTCCCTTGTATCCGCTAATACCAGAGTTCAGTGTTTAAAAATTTATATAAAGTATTAAGTAGGTAGTTGATTTGCCAAATCCAGTTGGTAGGAATGAGCCAGCTGCTTTACAGTGTGCTTATGCATTTTAAACACTCTTGGGCACACCCCCCCCCCTTCAAGAGTGCTTTTTTTTTTTTTTTTTTTTGTCATCTTCTGGGCCCAAAGTCACAAGGCCCCTTTGCAAAGACAGGTTGTCTTTGCTCTGATGTTATCCCCCTAGTACCCTAGTACAGGGGTCCCAACTAGTGGAGGGAGAGTTAACATCAGCCAGTTGAGCCCAGAAGAAAGATTAAAGAAGAGTAGTGGGTAGGAAGACAAATTGTTTAGAGTATTTAATGAAATGGAACCCAAGAGAGCCCCTAAAGCCCTAGCAAAAGTGTCCCAGGAACTTGTTAGCAAGAGCCATATTGGCTGTGGACCCTGATTGTGAACTTTATACACCCTCCCACATTTACCCTCTTGTCAGACTCCGAGGCAAGAGAGCCGCCAACTTGGGACTGCTGGCCCAGCACTAATGGAGTCCCCTGCCCCCTGCCCTCCAGCAGGCTCCTCTACCAAGGCTGCTTTCCTTTCTTTTGTGTATGTTTTCTTTGCCTGTATCCTTCTTAACACCCTTGTGGACTAGGACCAGGTCCTGACCATAGTCAGAAAATAACAATATGTATAACAGTATACCAAGGCTAGTCATTAATTTTCATTGTTGTGAAAATGTTTTGACTTAGAATAAATACATGGTTTTACATTACAAAAAAAAAAACCCAGTGATGAAGCAGGCATTTCCCATGCAGGTAAGGTTCAATGAAGGCCTCTAGGTGAAGCCGCCATGATGAAAAATAACAGGGTCTTACCGAAGCACAGGTGTAAACATGACAGGCTAGAGAAGTCCTAGGAAAGCCCTGGTTGATGACAGAGAAGGTAGATGATAATGCCATTCCATAAAATGCTACGAGAGGAGAACATTTTTGCAAGGTGGTGATCTTGGACAAGTTCTTTCAAATAACTTTAGCACAAAAAAAGCAGAGGCAGCAAAAAAGTTGGACTGGCTTCTAAGTCTGCCATTTAGAGGAAGGTCATGGACAGAGGTCAGGTGCTTCCTGCTGTCCCTGGTAGGTGGGATCACAGGTGGAGTTCTGAGAATCCTTGGTATGCAGGGCAGTGGGGAGACAGCAAGCTCCTGTGGGTCGAGGTTCCTAAGGAAAAAGGGAGAAAAGAGCAAAGGGCTCCATCTGATACAGGTACTAGTTCCTCAGCATTGCCCTCTCACTTTTATAAGGGTGATTTTCATAAAATATTAATTTTTCTAAACCTCATTGCTGGCTTCTTACTACTCTTAATATACCTTTTGTTTTTAGCCCTTCCTATGTTGACCAGAATTAAAAACTATCAAAATTGTTAATCAGAGGAGACTTCCACAGGACAGCATTTGCCCAGTTCTTTGTGTGTAAATTAAGTGCATATCATTTCCACAGCATAGTGATTCATTGCAGCATTGCTCACTGTCTCCTGCCAACCTGTTAACAAGTTAACAGATGCCCTGTGTTGGTGATGGCTCAGTTTTGCTTTTCTACCACATAGAATATCTCATACATGCTTCCCTTTCTTTTAGTGTTGGGCTTACCTACCAAGGCACTCCTAGCCTTGTGCATACTAGCCAATGTCTGAGCTACACTCTCAGTCCCAGGCTTTTCTTTTAAATATACAACCTTGAATTGCAAGTAACTTGTTCCACTAGTGTTTCTCAAGATGAACAGATATTTCAGTTTTAACTTGCTAAACATGAGATGTATTGCAATATTACTAATGCATCATGCCGAACATCACATGATCAAAGCTGAGCCAATGGCTCTTCTGTTTCTCTTGCTTTGCTGTGGGATTGTGGGCAATCATCTCTCCACAACAAAAGATTCTGGAGGAGATCTCATCTGCAGAGGAGAAGGAGGAGAAAAAAGCAGAGGAATTCCTTGCTTCTGTTGAGGTTAGGGAGATGTGTAAAATGTGGGAAACAGTGCAAAATTTTTTAAAAAACACGATCCAAATAAGGCTATAGCAGCGCAAGTGATGAATCTGCTTAACAATGGTATTATATCATGTTTCCATGAAATCTTCAAAAGGAGGCAAAAGCAAGTGTCATTGGATAGGTTCCTTATTCAAGTTGCACAAAAAGAAAAAGATTCCATTAAGCCAATAGATAGCAGTGATTTCTTTAGTGATAGTGAAAGTTGTAGTTGTCCTACACAATAAGCCTACTCTTATCTTCCTCACATCAGCCCTAAAAGTTTTCAAAGGTAGGTGCAAGTTAATTTGTTTTTTTTTATATTTTATATTTTTCATCACTTTGTATTACAGTATTATAATTTTATATGAATATTTTTAGGTTGTGGAACAAATCATCTGAGTTTCCATTTTTCTTGTGGGGAAATTTGCTTTGATGTACAGGTACTTTACATTACGAGCATATTTCCAGAATGAATTATGCCTGCAAACCAAGGTTTTACTGTACTTTATTCAAAACACAGAATGGGTTGTCATTTGTTTTCATCATCTGGTAATCATCTTATTAAACAAGGTCAGCTTAGTTTTAGGAACTACTTAAGAACATCACATGCTAGATCAGCTTTCTCCAACAGTGCATTGATGAAAGATGGTTGAGGATAGGTATATAGTAATTTAAGGAAATGTGGGGAGAGTGAGTGTTGGTTGGTTGCTCTAGGCAATTGTATAATTTTGAATAAAGTGACTAGATTGTAAAAGTGACATATGATTAAATCCCCACAATGAGGAAAAAGCTTCAGAACATACCTTGCGTGTTAAATAACTGATGCTTCAGTTGTGCTTTATGCATGACCAAATGCTTCTATGTACACGTTCTTGATTTTCAAATTGTTTTTATCTAGGTCCTCGGCAGGATGGACAACACCTGTGAGATGAAATACAAAGTGTTGGACAGCCCCTTGGGGAAAATAGAGATATCTGGTTGTGAGCAAGGACTGCATGGGATACGGCTGCTCAACCGGAAGACCCCTAGCACTGAGTAAGTGTGAGTGCTACGGCTGACCACCTGTGTGGTGTGGGCAGAAAGCGCTGGAAGGGAGTTCAGTAAATGTGATTATTGCTTGTTTTCCATTGATTGCAGCATAAAGCAGACCCTGACACTACCAGCCACATAGATAGTGTCTCTGAATGTGATCTGCTCTGACTGTCCTTTCAGCCACTGTGTGTTGCCAGAGAATGAATTCTCCATAACTTTTGATTAGAACCTCTGAGACATTTGATTCATCTATACTTTTACAGAGGAGGAGTTTGAGTATGAGCTTTGAGAACTTTGATTCTTGAATCCAGGTGATGAGGCAGAGGATGTCTCTGCAAACTTCGTAGTTGAGAGATGTGTGCCTAACCTTGATTTAAAAAAAAAAAAAAAAAATCAAGCCCCATCTTTAGTTTGTCAGGAGCCACCTGGTGAGGTTTGCATGGCTTTCTGGAATTTTCTTATGGAGCTCCATGGCCTTCCTGGAGGGGCATGGAGCTGTGGGTGTGTGTGCTGTGAGCTCAGATGCCAGGAGAAAAGCCCCAGAGTCCTTTCTAGGACTGTGGAGAGTGTTGCTGTTTCCCTCCAAGAGAAAACCTGTTTCTCCTTTTGCATGATCCTCACTATATTTCTCTAATTGTAAAAACATAAAAAATTTAAAGCGCTTCTTAATGTTTTGTTCTGAAATGTAACATTTAATTTCCTCCATTCATTGATTGTGAGCGGTTGTATTAAAATTGCAGTTCTCGTTATTTCTGACAGAAGGAAAAAACCACCCACTCCTGTACTTGGCGTTTGTCTTAACTGGCTAATAAACACAATGCCAAGAACATTAGATAAAGAAAATACATAAGAAACATAAAAATTGATTTTAATGGACCCCTGTCAGAGACAGCCATAATGAGCACAAGTGCAGTAATAAATATCAGCCTTCCCCTCCACTGTCGGGGTTTTTCCTGGAGAGCTGCATGTTACAATCAATATAGCCTTTTTTGAGACTAAAAAATAAGCAAACCTTTGAACTACATGAATACTCTCTTCTCAGTTTCTATGAGAACCATCTGGTTGTGGTGTTCAGAATATCACCGGCACCAAATAATTTGTAGGGGAAAATGTCATTTTGTCTCTTTGCATGTTCAGTTGCACAATAAATCATAGAAATTATGTGCTAGCTTTTTTACTTTGGTAAAAAGTAAAGGTACTCCTTTATAGCAAATTTGGGGAAGAAAAATGAAAATGTATGCATTATAAGATATTTGGTTTAATGCCCATTTTGGATCATATAGGAATAAAGTGAAGAGGCTTAGTTTTGAGTTCCTATCTTATGAATTGTCTGAAGTTAGAATCAGATTCAGTTGTAGAAGCAACTGCCATATAATGGCCTAAATAAGATGCAGATGACATCTGACAGGAATGTGCACTTGTAGGTAGCCTCTAGAATGTGGTGGTGAACCTATGGTATGCACGTTGTTTTTCTTTTAAGATAAAAGATGTTAATATATGAGTTGTTACTTTTTTCTAAACTAAAGCCTCATATTTAGGTTTAATTGCAGTGTTGGCACTTTGCAATCAATAAGTGAGTTTTGGGTTGCAGTTTGGCCATTAATTCTCTAGAAGATTCTCTATCACTACTATAGAGGCTGGAGGGGTGAGAGCTTTGGGGAACTCCCAGCTTTCCTCTCTATTCTCCAGACTGAGACCCCTTCTAAGATCTAGAACACCTTGCAAAGTACTCTTGTGTGCTGTTGTAATCAGGTTTTACAAGGAAAAAGATTTAATACAGAACATATAATTTATAGGATAATTTTATAATATTTGCCATAAAAGTTAAAGACAGGAGTGCAGGAGATCTTTTCACACACCAGAGACAAAGAATCCAGCTAAGGGCCTGGATTCCATGGCTCTGTCCTGCAGAAGTCCAGCTGAAGACCTTGAGCTCGTGGCAATGTCCTCCACAAGTCCAACTGGAGGCTTAGAGCCCAAGACAGTTTCTCTTGCAAATCTGTGTCAGGGATCTGCACTATGAAGGCCCAAAGGTCAGTGGTGAAAGCTAGAAGGTCTGCACCAGCAAAATGAAGGATCTGTGCCAGCAAGCTGTGGGTTCCTGCACCAGGCAGGAAGAGATGCTAAGGTAAGGACCAGCGCTTTCCCAAAGAGAACCGCAGCCATTCTCAGTGACAGCAAGGACCTGAGCTCCTCCCCCAACTAGAACCACTGAGTTCATGTTAGGAAAACCAGCCTGACAAGCTTACCCAGGAAAATCAACAGCATACCATTGTCTCAGTTCTGTTTTTGTGCTGTTGGCAACAATCCTCTGGTGGACACTCCACACCCAGCATGCTGATTTGCTTCAGCTGGGTGGTACAAGTTGCTCATTAGTTAATGTGCCACATGTACCTTTAAGTCAATCCTGTTTGTGGATTCTTGGCCGAACCTCTGTGGTGAAACCTTTTTGTAGATACTCATTTTCATTTATCTTGAGTAAATTTCAAGGTGATGAATTACTGGTCATTGTTTATTTAACTTGATAAAGAACTTGCCAAAACTTCCCTCAAAGTTCTGTTATTTTACATGTAATGTGTGAAAGTTTCAGTTATTCTTTTGGCCAGTACTTGGTATTGTCAAGTTTAAAATTTTAGTCTTTTGCGAAAATATGAAACACTATCTATCTCATTGAAGTTTTAACTTGTACTTTCAAATCTTTGGCCATTTATATATGATTTTCTTAATTTTTGTTTGCTGGTTTACGATTTTGAATATGATTTTGTCAGATATGATTTTGAATATGATTTTGTCAGATATGATTTTGAATATGATTTTGTCAGATAAATGAACTATCATTTTTCTCACAGTTGTTGAATTTTTGTTTTGCTAATAGCATCTTTTGATGAGAATTTCAATTTTAAGGAAGTGAATTTATTAGATTTTACCTTTACTTTGTGCAAGTTTTTGTCTTTTCTAAGAAATAATTTACTTACTGTAGTATTGCCAACCTGTTCTCCTACAATTTCTTCTAAAAACTTTATTTTTTTAGTTTTTTATGTTTAGATTTATGACTCATTTTGAATTACTCCTTAGTGAGGCATAGTTTTTTTTTTTTTCTATACAGTTGTTTAGTTGTTTTAGCATTTATTGGGGGAAAAAACCTCCAAAACTTTCATTCATTGAATCATCTGATACTTTTGTGAGAAGTCAGTTGACCCTATGCTGCGTCTTATCCTGGGCACACTGTCTGGTTCCGCTGATCTTGTTTTGTCCTAACTCTATGCCAGTGTGGTTACATGGCTCCAAAGTAATTTTGATATCTAGTAAGGTATGCCTAGCCTATTATCTGCCATTTAAAAAGGTTGTGTGAGCTTCTAGGTCACTCAGTTTCTTATTTGAAATAAGAAGTCAGATTTTGCAAATATTCTTATTAGGATTTTGATAGGGAGTTCAATGTGTCAATTTTGGGAAGTGACATCTCAATATTGAGTTTATTAATTTGTGATATGATTTATCTCTGTGTTGTTTCAAGTCCTCTTTTATTTTCTCAGCAGTGCCCTATAATTCCCAGCACAGTGACCTTGCATGTGTTTGGTAAAACTGATTTTTGAATACCTTGAATGCTTTGTTCTTGAGGGTGAGCCCTTCTTCCCCATGATTTTCTGCTGTTTATTCAGATGGGGTCCAAAAATATTACATAAAAAATTGTAGAAAAAAAGCATTTCATTAGCTTTACGATGCATGCCATTCTGTGTCATAAGGTGAAATTTTGGTCCATCCCACGCAGGTGTATGTTATCCTTCTGCCCACCTTATCTGTGCTGCCTACTAGTCATCTAGTAACCATCTTCATTTTTAGATCAACTGTCACAGTTATCACAGCGTTGTGCTCAGGTAGCCCTCCTTTTTACTTAATAATAGCCCCTGGATCATACTTATGTTATGATAACAAGAGCAGGTAAAGCATTGGGTCTTAGGCCCTGGAGGGAATCCATGTGGCTCATCTTTCACATATCGAAGATTTACCTTTTCTTTCATTTTTTATCTTATAAATCTTTTAATAAAAATATGAAAATATAATACTGATGAAAATTATATTGTGTAACCAAACTATGGACTATAAAGTATTTTATATCTTAAAATTGCATGTTTCCTACTTTATAGGACTTACCTGGTCTCCTTGTGGCAGTGATTCATTTAAGGTGTTTGCACATCTGCCATTCTGTATCTTGCCTCAGCCAGATCTGATGTGAAGGCCGGGTAGATGCATGCGAAACAGGCTTTCTTCTCCTCCGAGGGCTTGCCTGACTATACAGGGTCTCCTATCCCAAAGGTATGGGCCCTTTAAACATGAGGGCATTTTTGCATGGCCTCATGCTACTCCTGGGAGACGACTAATCAGATGTCATCCGATGCACTGTCATCTTTTGTTTTTCCCACGTGCCAAAGTCATTGTCATGTTCCAAGGTGAAGATACGTTTGAGATCTTTCTGGAGGGAAGCAGGGTTTGTGAAGCCCTTTGGATGCTTCACTTTCAGCAACAGTTTTTGGTGCTTTTTCCATGCATTTACTTCTTTCCTTCATGTGTGTTGATTAACAGAGCTGGATTTCAAGGGTCAACAAGGGCTTCTCAGCACAAGCAACATTCAGCCTTATGCTGTCATGTGACTGCTGTGTGATAGTCTACCTAGGGATCTCTCTGCGGAGCAGCCTGGGTTTTAGCTGGCTCCTCAAGGTCCATTGGCTGTAAAAACCTTCCTGGGAAATTCATAACATGGTCAGAAAGACAGATTGGGAAATTTAATACAGGTACTTGTAGCACTTTGTTATGATTGATCTGACAAGGAGGACAGGCCATTCTTAAGGACGTACCCTCACCACAATCTCATCTGGGGGCAGCTCTGCAGGGTTCTTCCCTGCAACAAGTTCAGTTGTGTTGCTGATTGCCTTCAGTAGCTTGAAATAATGGTTTGTGTTGTTTATGCTTAAAAATGTAATTATATTACTTATAGATTACTTCTT